GCTGCGGCTCTGGGCGCGCTGGCCGCTGCTGGCTGGCTCGCTCGCCCGCCTGCCCGCGCCCGGGCGCTGTTTACTAGCGAGGCCTGGACGTGACTGTGCAGCCCTTTTGGAGTAGGCGGACCTCCGCGCGCGCCGCCTCGCGGGAGCTGTAGTTCTGGGCGCCTGGCGGGCACAGCATTGTGGGACGTGTAGGCACTCGGGAACCACGCTTTCCCTGACAAAGCTCGGCGTCCGCGGGCTGGGTGGGCTAGGCAGAGCGGGTGGAAGGAGTTTTGAGGAGGGGGCTCCCGAAGGCCGCCCCTAACCTAGCCTGGCTGCTCCCTGCCGCACCTGGGTCTCCTCTGCAAACTTTGCCGTTCCACGCCCCTTCTCTTAGCCGTCAGCTGAAATCGTCGGGTCTCCCATGCGGGTGGGTGCCCCGAGGTCTGCATTCGCTCCCCAGGAGCCGCTTTGTGTAAGTTTGGCCCGAGGTCGCCCAAAAGTCACCCTTTATCGAGGGTGATGGATTCCCGGGCCACAAGCAGCCGAATCACTCAGGATGCGTTAAAATGAACATGCCTGGAACTCCGTTTGCTATGGGGAGGCACAGGCATCTCCGTACTGAACCCGACTCGACAGGCTGAGGTGGGCGCGAGGGCGTGGGGGTTTTGCCAGTGTGCACAAGTTTAGGACCTGCGGCCCCTTTCCTGCAGTGCTGCTCCAAGAGCGAAATGGCTCCCCTGGGCTGGGCCACGTGCTCGGCAGCCCAGGGCCGGCAGGGCGGGGACTGAGGGAGGAGGAGCCCCAGCACGGTGTGGCCCAAGCTGGTGAACACCAGATGCTGGGGAAAATGTGGTTGTACAGGTATACACCAGCTCCACAGCTCTCACCTTTATTGCCAGGTTCACAGTCAATAATACCTAAGGATAGATGCTCCGGCTGATGGATCGGGCGGGCAGCAGGGCCACCCTGAGGTTTGGCATTTAGACAAGGGCCCGCTGGAGGGCCCAGCAGTAATAACTTTTTTTGTTCTGTTTTATTTTTTGAGACAGGGTCTCACTGTGTAGTTCAGGCTGGCCTTGAACTCGCAGAGATCCTCCTGGCCCAGCCTCCTGAGTGCGAGGATTACAGGCATGTGCCACTATGGTTGGCGCGGTGGTTAACAACTTAAAAAATTGTGTTTGAGGTCTTTATACGTTCTGGGCGTTCCCTTTGCTAGTATTTCTTTTTTCTTCTTCTTTTTTTTTTTTTTTGGCTTTTTGAGACAGGGTCTCGCCATGCAGTTCAGGCTGGCTTTGAACTCACTTTGTAGCCCAGGCTAGTCTTTTTTTTTTTTTTGGTTTTTCTCCGGCACTGGGAACCGAACTCACAACCTTGCGCTTGCCAGGAAGGCACTTTGCCGCTGAGCTAAATCCCCAGCCCCGCCCAGGCTAGTCTTGAATTCACAATGATCCTCCTGCCTCAGCCTCCCAAGTGCTGGGATTACAGGGATGCGCCACCACGCCTGGCAGTACATTCTTATTGAATCGTTATGGACTTTCTATGTGTCAAGTTGTTTTCTGATTCCCTTATAAAGATGAGGACGCAGAGGCTGGGGAAGGGACCAGCTAGAGCAAGAGGTAGATATGGGAGTGGAAACCTGACCCCTGAGCTTCTGCAGGCTGCTGGCTGCTCCTAGCTAGGCTGGGCAGTGGGCAGGAGGGGCTGAGGTCCACACCCTGGAGAGGACATTCTTGGCTCTGACCATGCACAGGCTTGGGGAATTGGCCCTCTGGCTTCTGTGCCTGTACCTTGGCTGGGACCTGTCAGGGCATCCTAGAACTCTGGTTTTACTTTATCCCTGTACCAGTCCTCTCTTTGAGCTGGGTGTAATAGGATACACCTGTAATCCCAGCACTCAGGAGGATGAGGCAGAAGGATTGTGAGTTTGAGGCCAGGCTGGACTACATTGTGAGACCCTGCCTCACAAAACCAAACCAAAACAAACCCAAGACACCAGTCCCCTCTTTGGAGGAGACTAGCAGCCACTTGAGAACACTGGGCTTTAGCAGTCTGTATTTGAGATCGCAGAACCTGCCCGGAGGTGCACAGGTCCTCAGCCTTCCTCACTTCCAAGACAGGGCCTCTTACCCTGTTGGTCTTCAGCTAGGGTTGCAGGGTGAGGTGGGAGGCCTGTCCAGAAAGGAGTATGTGCCCTGGGCAGGACTTTTTTGGGGGAAAGGACTTGGCTTCTCTGTGTTGTCTCAGGCTGTGGACTTTCCTGCATCCCTCTTTGCCAGGTTGGGCTCTCTGCCCTTCTCATCGGTCTCCCCAGCCAGCTAGAGGGGGCTGGAGGGCAGTGCCCTGCACTTGCTGCCTTAAGGTTCTCTGCTTTGGTAGAATGTAACATTTGTGGAGATCGGTATGGCAAGTACCTGGGAGCTGTTATTTTAACTTTTGGACTCCAAAAACCAGGGACATGGTCATCTTTATCCGTGTAAAGTCTGTTAAAAAAGTTCCAGGAGCTGGCTGCAGTTGCACACACCTGTAACCCCAGCTCCATGGGAGGCTGAGGCAGGAGGATCATAAGTTAAAAGCTAGACTGAGCAACTTGGCTAGACCCTATCTCAATTCTGTCTTATTTTTTAAAATCTGTGTCTTTTTTTAGTTTTATTTTTTATTAGTACACATTCCCAGTACATTCTTATTACATTCATCATGGAGAGACTGTCTCAGAATTTTAAAAAGGAGGAATGTGAGGGAGTTTGGTGTGTTTGTTTCGTGTCTGAATCTATTTATGAAGCACTGTCTTGATGACCAGATGAAGGATTCAGCAGGTAGCAAGACCTGATAATCCCTGGCCTCAGCAGCTCATCAACTCTTGGTACTAAAGGATTCTTTCAGCCCCCTGAGATCCATGGGTTGTCTTGGGTAGCAGGGTACAAACCCTAGGGAAACAGGGCATCCTGTTGTCTTTTTTTTTTTTTTTGGTCTTTTTGAGACAGGGTCTCCCCATGCAGTTCAGGCTGGTCTTCACTCACTTTGTAGCCCTTTGTTCAGGCTGGCTTCGAACTTGTGGTGATCCTCCTGCCTTAGCCTCCTGAGCGCTAGGATTACAGGCATGTGCCGCCACGCCCGGCCCTGTTGCCTTCTTGTATTTTCTCTCTCTCAGTGCTTTTTAAACTTTGCCATGAACCTGAGAAGTGAGGCAGTACTTCCACACTTTACAGGTGGGGGAAACTGAGGTTGTTGAGGGGCTCAACTTAGAGTTTCACAGCTAGCAAGTGGAAAGGCTGAAGTTGGCATTTGCGCCCAGCGCAGCGTCCCTCCGGGTTGCAGGAGCCAGGGCTGGGGTGGCGGAAGAGGACAGATGTCTGTGAGGGGAACAGCATGGCATGGTGTGTTCTGGAACCAAGCAGAGGGTGGTGGCTGGCCACTAGATTGGAGAGGGCTGTGTGTATGGGTGGAGACAGTGGAGAACAGTGTGTGCATTGACACCTAGTGGGAAGGTTGTCTCCCTTTTCAGGTGTGGGAGAACTCCCAGGTGGACTTGCCCCACTTTGACCGTGCGATGTTCAGTGACTTGCATGTATGCGCTCAGAGTTCACGGTGAGAGTTTTTGGGGCCATTTGGAGGCTGGAGCTGGGCAGGCAGGTGGAGGAAGATGGGAGATACTGGCCTTGGGTTGGGCAGGTACCTGTTAGGGATTGGATGTGAAGAGCATGTCCCCTGCCGTGGAGTGTCTGGTTGGGGCGCTGGCATTCATCCTAGATTTGGGGGATGTACTGGGGAAAGAGGGATGGCAGCTCTCCTTGGTTGGTACCCAGATCTTGTTCCTTGGCTGCCCAGTGCTCTTATTCCCAAGGCCTAGAGGCCCCTGGCCTGCCCCTGTCTGTCACAGGGCAGCGGGTGTAGAAATCAGAGTTGCTGCTCACCTGGGAGAGTTCAAAGTTACCAGGGAGGTGGTAGTGTGACTTTCACCATGCAGATATAGTTTACTTCTGTAAAACCCAGGAAGAGGTATAAGGAACTTTCAGGCCTTTGCAGAAAAATCCTCTTTATCCACTGCAGTGTCACCTGGAAATGCCTGTTAACTCTTATTCTTCATGAATAGGAACCTGGGGTTGGTTAGCAGTGGTTGGCATTCCACCAATCATAATTCTTGGTTAGCTCAGACTCCACCAATCAGAACCCCTGGTTAGCACGTAGTCTGTTAAAAAACCTCTTTATCAGTGCGTACTTCCGGGACCGTTTAGATGAGTTATAATGAGTCTTGATGACAAGTTCAAAACTACGGAGGAGCTGTAGCTTTGGGGGTGAGCCTCTTCTCAGTTAAGTCGAGGTTAAACACCAGGTTAACCAGCAGCTGGTTCTGGAAGGAGGAGGCTAGGCTGATGGGTCTGCAGAGGAAGCGGCAGGACGGAATATCTGGAGGAGCCAGGCTCTCGGCTTTGAGGTGGACCGGAGCTGACTTAGGCTCCTCTGCCTGCCTGGTCCCCGTCTAGGAACTTCGGGGATGGAGATTCTGAGCCCAGAGCCCTGTGGTGTCCTTTGGGCTTCCCAGTTGGTGCGCAAGGGAGAGGCCGAGGGTCAGCTCCCCAGGGCTGGTGCGCTGAGGGGACTGGGCTGGGAGCTGCCCGCAGGAGGGTGCATCGCACTGCACCCTGCTCTAGCAGGCCAACGGGGGTGACCTTGGGTAGGTCACATCACTGGTGGCCCTTTTCCCTCACTAGTTTGGAGGAGCTCAGTGCAGGGGCACTGTTCTAGTAGCCACCCCTCGTCTGTTGAGCAGCCCCTTCTGTGTGCGAGCTGGCAGTAGAGGGCACCATCAGCTGGTGGGTTTTCTGCGCCCGCTGGCAGTGTCCTATCTGTTTGTTTGTTTTTTGTTTTTCTTCACGTGCCGGAAATTGAACTCACGACCTTGCGCTTGCCAGGCAGGTGCTGTGCCGCTGAGCTAAATCCCCATCCTCCTGCCGTGTCCTTTCTGGCTGCTTGATGGGGGCACATCAGGAGGCACATGACTGCAGCCATTCCATTGGGCTTTTGTGAGAACTGGGAGATGTACAGGAAGTCTGTGACTAGTAAGAAAAGTTAACACCATGATAGCATGCAGCTGTCAGCTGGCCCTATTCAAGGGTACTTGTCCCCTGTCGATCTGTGGGACCATACAGAGCCCATTTTACCCTCCTGTCACCTGACACCTGCTCCGGGTCCCAGCTTTATCGCTCGCTATAGCTCGTCCCTTCCTGAACCTTCCAGTGCTCTTTACATGGGAATCATCAGGCCACCTGACTCATAGGAAGATTTTGATAAAATTCAATGAGAAAATCCTAACACAGTGAGTCTTTAGCACATCATATAAAGAATTCAAGATGCACGTGTGTGCGTGCGTGTGCATGTGTGTGTGTGTGTGTGTGTGTGTGTGTACTAGGGCTCAAACCCAGGTCCTTGCTAGGCAAGCTCTTTGCCACAAGTTACGTCCACAGCCCTTTTTGGTTTTTATTTTGATTTTTTTTTTTTTTTTTTTTTTGTTTTTCTCCGGTACCGGGAACCGAACTCACGACCTTGCGCTTGCCAGGCAGATGCTTTTGCCGCTGAGCTAAATCCCCAGCCCCTTGCTTTTTATTTTGAAATTGGGCTCTCCAGTTTGTCCAGACTGGCCTCAAACCTGTGACCCTCCTGTCTTGGCCAGAGAACTCAGACAGGTGTGTATCACCACACTTGTCTTCAAGACTTTAAAAAAAAAAACCAAAAACGTACTCCTTTATTGCTAGGCCTTCCAGATGGGCTGTCTCTCAGGGTGGCCCAAGAATGGGCCCAGGACTCCTTCTGAGCCCCAGCCCTGGGGTCAGCCCAGCCCTTTGGGCATCACCAGGAGAGATGAGGGTAGCGGTTGCTCCCAGTAGATTGTAGTCACCAGGTAGCTTCCTGTGGTACCTCTTCCTGTCTCTCTGTCCCTCTTTTTTTTGAGACAGGGTCTCACTGTGTAGTTCAGCATGGCCTTGGACTCACTATGTAGCCCAGGCTGGCCCTCACAGCGATCTTCCTGTGCTGGGATTAGGTGTGCGCCAGCACGCCCAGCTCCCTGTTTCCACAGCCCAGCTCTTTTTGTCTCTAAAGATCTCTGTTGTTAGGCTACCTACTGCAGAACAGTACCTGTTCTCCTTGCCCAGCTGGCCTCTCTGAGGAGGTGTGGTCTGAGGGCAGATAGTGGCAGCTTCTGCCTAAGTGGCCCTTTCCTCTTTTTGACAGCGTGTTACACCCGCTGTGGGGGCAGGGAACCTGGGAGAAGAGAGGTATCTGGCCTGAGGTGGGGAAGTTGGACATCCAGCTCTCTGCCTGTAAAACCATTCTGTCCCTACTCTGAGCCCTAAGCACAGGGCCACCTCATCTGTGAAATATGTGAGGGGGGACCTGGGCCTCCTTCCCAGCACTGACGTTCCCAGCTCTCTGGGGGTCTTGCACTCTGATGGAGAGGTCAGGGAGGGCCTGGGTTGGTTGGGGCCCTGAGCCTTTGGACCCAAAGATGGAAGAGGGGCCTTGGCTTGAGGAGGCGGGGTAAGGGGGTGCTGAGGGGGTGGCGTGGGGCTGTGTTGATTTGACAGCAGACCTCCAGGAGTGGCTGATGGGGCGCTCAATCCCAGCTGTCCACCCTCTCTGTTGAAAGAGAAAGCTGAGGCCTAGGAAGGGGCAAGGATGTGTCCAGGGCGCTGTAGGGAGCTGAGGTAGGATGGATGGATGGATGGATGGATGGGTGGATGGATGGGGCAGGCTGGGTGGGGCAGGTCAGCCAGGGTTGTTTCCCGCTGTTGCAGATGTGTTCCCCTCCTGGGCTGTTGTGCAGCTCTTTTCCCTGAGGATAGGGACAGAGCCAAGTCACAGCCAAGGAGTCAGTCCTGGATCCCTATCAATGGGATGAGAACGCCCAGAGGCCTTTTCCAATTTCCCCGGACTCAGGGCCTAAGCTTTCTTGGCTCAGGCCTGGAACAGGTCACCCAGGGAGGGCCCCTCAGGAAGAGGCCAGGGCTGTGGCTTTGGGTGGGGCTGGCGGCTCTGCTGGGAGCTCAGCATCTGGAAGCCATCAGGCCAGGGGCGGGGGAAGTTGCAGGGGAGGGCTGAGAAGGGGAGCATGGCTCCTCCAGGCCACACACAGGCCCACCCCTCGGGAGCAGTGGTGTTGGGCCTGCAGGCTTTGCTGCTGTCTTGCATCTTGGTCCACAGCCTCGCCCCTTTCCCTGGCTGCCCCGTCCCTCACCCCACTGCTGCTGCACCCGCACTGTGCAATCCCATTGCCCACAGCGTGCCAGGGGCCTCACTTCCTGACCAGGCACAGCGCTGGTCTGCCTCTGAAAGTGGTTGGGCTTGGAGGGGGCCTGTCCCCAGGGGTTGTTGACCAATTGCTTCTCTGTGGAGTGAGTGGTATCTGTCTTGTCTTCTGTGAAGTCTTAGCCCAGGGGGGCTGAGATAGCTGTGGGTATGGCTGGAGGCATGACTATGGGCACAGGGGAAGGATGACTTTTCAGTCCTGGGGTGGCGAAGCCCGAGACTTTCCAGGTCAGCAAGGAGCTCAGAAGCGTCCCAAGACCAGGTGCCTTTGAGTGTCACTCAAGGACCACCTGCATCAGATACAAGAATTAGCCATGCAGGCTGCTGATCCTTCACAGATTTTCTTAGTCAGATGGTGGGCTAGCATCTGGGTCCTGCCCGGTATACAAGTGCTTGGATGTTCTTGATACCCAGACCTGGCTGGGAACCTTGTTCTTGAGGAGATTCCTGCCTCCAGAGAGGAAGTTGTTCTGAGAAGTCTACCCTTGGCTGCAGCCAGTTAGTTCAGTCTGCCTGGGCATTCCAGGGAGTGCCCCTCCATCAGCTTCAGGGTTGATCTGCCTGAGTTGCTGGCCTTAGGCTGACCTGGCATCTTTTGCAGCAAGGAGGGATGCAGGTTATTCCTAGGGCTCTCTGGAGATGAATTGTGAAGATGAGCCTTAATCCCAGCACTTGGGAGGCTGAAGCAGGAGAATCACTTTGAGGCCAGCCTGGGTTATATAGTGAGTTCAAGGCCATCCTGAACTACAAAGCGAGACCCTGTCTCAAAAAGTCAAAAAACAAAAAAAGAGGGGCCTACTGGGGCAAAGCTCAGAGGGCATCTAGTCTTAGGTTCCTTTCTGCCCTTGCAGCCTTGCCAACATCCCACTGACCCCTGAGACCCAGCGGGACCAGGAGCGGCGGATTCGGCGGGAGATTGCCAACAGCAACGAGCGGAGGCGTATGCAGAGCATCAACGCGGGCTTCCAGTCCCTCAAGACCCTTATTCCCCACACAGATGGAGAGAAGCTCAGCAAGGTGGGCAGGGGGCGGGAGCTTCCTGGAGAGGTGGCAGGCTGTGGTGGGAGAAGTAAGAGAGTCTGGTAAATACCCCCAGCCTGACCCTGGGTCCCTCTTGCCTCCAGGCAGCCATTCTCCAGCAGACGGCAGAGTACATTTTCTCCCTGGAGCAGGAGAAGACCAGGCTCCTGCAGCAGAACACACAGCTCAAACGCTTCATCCAGGTACCCTAGGAGGCATCGCCTCCGTGCCCTGCCCTTCGCTTCACTCCCTGCCCCCAGCATGGCGTGCCTGGACCCAACCCCTGACCCCGGACACAGATGACTGCCAGTCCCATCCTGTCTGTTGACCGGCCTGCCTCACGTACTTGCCTTCCTGGTTGGGCCTCAGCTTCCCCATTCATCAAAGGAAGGAAATGTGCAACTGCCTTGGAGAGCCAGTCCTTTCTAATTCCCCTCCTGGCACTGAGCCACGTTGTTGGGTCTGCAGAATGAGCTCCCCAGGCCAGGTCCGCCTCTGCTCTGTAGCTTTGGGGGCCTGAGATGGAGCCCCCTGACCTCCATGGTAGTAGCAGCGGCATGGGGGTGTCCCCTTCACATACTCATCTATCCCTTGGGGTCCCAGGAGCTGAGTGGCTCTTCCCCAAAGCGACGGCGAGCGGAGGACAAGGATGAGGGGATTGGCTCACCGGACATCTGGGAGGATGAGAAGGCTGAGGACCTGCGGCGGGAGATGATTGAGCTGCGACAGCAGCTGGACAAGGAGCGCTCTGTGCGCATGATGCTGGAAGAGCAGGTGAGCGGCCCTGTGGGCTCGGGGCAGGCGCTTCTGTAGTCTCTCTTTTCTGCCTGTGTGCTTTCCATTTAGCAGGTATTTATAGAGGCCCCTGCTCTGTGCCAGGTCTAGGAGTGGAGATCTAGTTGCCCTTGGGGGTTACCGCATGGCTGGGAGTGAGGGAATTAGTCAGAGGGCTTCAGGTACAGCCCAGTGGCAGAGTGTGTGCTTAGCATGTAAGGCCTTGGGTTCAATTCCCAACACACATACACACACACCACACACAGAGCAACTGAGGTGAGGTTCCTACAGCTGTGGGTCTGACCTGATTCCCTATGGGTGCCCCATAGCTTCTGTATGGAAACCAGAGAACCAGGCACAGAAGACAGAAGGATGTTTCACTCAGGGAAGAGCATAGACAGAGACCTGGAGAGGGGAGGGAGGCCCAAGGGGCTCTGGTGAGGAATTTAGTCTCTGTCCTAGAGGGTCGCTCATGCTAGGGTTTTAGGTTTGCACACTGTGCTGTGTCCTGGGGTTGGAGGCTTTGGTGAGTGGCCTGCTATGAGGTTGGTAGAGCAGGTGTGCTCTGGCCCTGCCCCTAAGCACCTAGCTGCTCCACCCGCAGGTGCGGTCCCTGGAGGCCCACATGTACCCGGAAAAGCTCAAGGTGATCGCGCAGCAGGTGCAGCTGCAGCAGCAGCAGGAACAGGTGCGGCTGTTGCATCAGGAGAAGCTGGAGCGGGAACAGCAGCATCTGCGGACCCAGGTGAGCAGGAGGCCTGGGAAGGGCACTCACGCTGCCCCAGGGCTCTGAGGGTGCAAGGGCGCCCCATTGTCTTCAAGGAACAGTTTGTGGCTCCAGACATCAGTGTCCATGAGTTCATCCTCGAAGCAGCACTTTAAAACCTGAGCTGTTAAACTCCAGTTTGACTGGTGAGGAAACTGTGGCACAGAAAGGCTGAATAACATGCACAGGACCCCAAGTGACCAGAGATAGGGCTTTGAATCCTGGCTGTCTACATCCAGGGTTTGCCCCTATCCCCCACCCTGTGCTGTTATTAAACCCAGGACCTTGTGCATGCCGGGCAAACACTGTACCACTGACTTACACCTGCAGTCCCAGAGCCTATGGGGTCTGGCTAAGTTGTTCAGGGAATTCACTGCAGTCTTCCAGCCTCAGCCTTCATAATAGCTGGAACTACAGATGTATGCTACAGTGCCAGGCTTAATGTCTATACCCTGGTTTTTTGTTTTGGTTTGTTTTGTTGAGACAGGGTCTTGCTATGTAGTTCAGGCTTGCCTTGAGCTCATTGTGTAGCCAAGGCTTGCCTCAAACTCACGGCAGTCCTGCCTCAGCCTCCCAAGTGCTGGGATTACAGATGTGCACCACCATGCCTGGCTGTCATCTATAGTCTCTCTCTCTTTTTTTTTTTTTTCCTTCTTTTGGTACCGGGAATTGAACTCTGGACCTTGTGCTTGCCAGGCAGGCACTTATATCACTGAACTATATCCCCAGCTGTCATCTATACTCTTAACTAGCACTGTATTAGATGCTGAACTGCTGCTTGGCAGTGGAAGTTGAGGGGGCCATGGGATTTGGTATGGTCAGAAGCCCCTCCATAAGCTGCCATTCCTTCATTTCTTAGTACAGTGTTGGGGTGGGGCTGGGGTGGTAAACTGGCTGGCCCCCTATGTATTTGTTAGTTTTCCATCACTACGACAAATACCTGAGAAACACTGAACTGCATTCCTGGCCTTCTTTATTCTACTTTGAGGCACAGTCTCACTAAGTCACTGCATTGCCCAGTTTGTACTCAGACATGCAGTCTTCCCAGCTCAGCTTCCCAGGGTGCTGGAATTGCAGGTGTGCACCGCCACACCCTGCTGAGACACTCTGCTCATGAACAGAAAAGTTATTTTGGCTCACAGCTTTGGAGATTCCATTCTGTGATCAGTCGGCCTCATTCATTGCTTTGGGCCTGTCCCAAGATGGCACATCATGGCAAGAGCAGGTGACAGTGAAATAGCTCACCTCATGGCCAGGAAGCCAAAGAGAGAAAGGAAGAGAAAGGGGCTGGGGGTCCTACTATCTCTCTGAGGGCACCTGTCCCCAAAGGCCTTCCCCAGGGCTCACCTCTCAAAGATTCCACCACTCCCGATGGTACCACACTGTGACCGCCATCGCACACAGACCATTGGAGAAACCTAAATCCAAACTGTAGGGAGGTTGATGGGCTGGAAGAACCACAGGCAGAGCGACTGAGGGCTTCTGTCTTACAGCTCCTGCCCCCTCCAGCCCCCACCCACCACCCCACGGTGATTGTGCCGGCGCCACCACCACCACCTCCCTCCCACCACATCAACGTTGTCACCATGGGTCCCTCCTCTGTCATCAACTCTGTTTCTACATCCCGGCAAAATCTGGACACCATTGTGCAGGTACCTGGGCTCGGGTAGGGGCAGCTTGTGGGGGTGAACTGCTGCGAACAGGCTCTTTACGGGAGCAGACACTAAGGGACGGAAGAGGAGAAGATGGGGCTGGAGTGGGAGGGAGGTCTGGATGCCCAGCGTGGAGGCTCTCCCTCCCTGCATCTGCGGGCACGGACAGCTGGGCAACAGAGCCTGGAGATGAGCCGTGTCCCTTCTTCAGCGAGAGGCTGCTTTGGAGCCAGAGCCCCTGGCTCAGAGTTCCTGGGGTCGGCTCTTCGTTTGGCCCAGAGCTTTCTCTCACCTCCACGCCCCACAACTGAGGATGGGGCAGAAGTGGCAGTGGCTGGGTGGCTGTACGTAGGCCTCCTGTGAATGCGATGAAAAGATGAATTGGTAAATAATAAAATCAACCAGAAAAGCCAAAACAGGGAAAAGAATCATTGCTCACCACTTTAGTTACACATAAACTCAGGAAGATGAATAATACAATTAATAACAAAAGTCTTTAATAAGTTAATAGGAAGACTTTGAAATATGTGTGTATGGGAGATGCTTGTCATTTCTTGGCAACACCGAAATTATGGTCTTCTCGGAAGGGGTTTGTCAATTTAATGAGGCACTTTTTTTTTTTTTGGTCCTTTTGGGACAGGATTTCACTGTGCAGCTCAGGCTGGACTTAAACTCACTTTGTAGCCCAGGTTGGCTTCAAACTCGCATTGATCCTCCTGCTTCAGCCTCCCAAGTGCTGGGATTATAGGCGTGTGATACCATGGCTGGCTTTTTTTTTTTTTTTTAAAGTGTTACTGGGTATTGAATCCAGGGCTGAGCTACATCCCCAGACCCTTTTATTCCCCCAGACCTTTAAAAAAAATATTAAAAAAAATTTTGAAGCAGGGTCTAAGTCCTCAAGTTGCCCAGGCTAGGTCTGAACTTTAATCTTCCTTTCTTTTTGCCTCAACCTCTCAAAATTCTAGGATTACAGGTGTGTGCCACCATGCCCAGCTCTACAGAGCAATTTTCTAATGTTTATATCCCCTGGACTCTGGCAGCACACCCTACTTGGCCAGGCTTATTTTAGGACAGTCCTGGGGTGTGTGTTTTGTGGGGAGTTAGTGGCTGGCTGAGGCCCCGCTGTCTCCGGGCCGGCTGGGGACCTCAGGCTGAGCCTCCTGTCGCTTTCCCCTGTCTAGGCAATCCAGCACATCGAGGGCACCCAGGACAAGCAGGAGCTGGAGGAGGAGCAGCGGCGAGCAGTCATCGTGAAGCCTGTGCGCAGCTGCCCGGAGGCCCACACTTCAGACACTGCCTCGGACTCGGAGGCCTCGGACAGTGACGCCATGGACCAGAGCCGGGAGGAGCCGTTAGGGGACGGGGAGCTTCCCTGACCACCCCCTCAGCCCTCCTCTCCCTTCTGGGGGCTGGAGGGGGCCGAGGAAGTGACAGGGAGAAATGTGGGTGAATGAGTGAGAAATTTTTACAAAATTACTGTGTCATTTGGGTCTCTTTTATGACCTCTTTTTCAATACTGTAAATCAACCTTGGAACGAAGCCACCCAAGCCAGGGTCCCGGGGCTGGGGTGGCACACGGCGTGTGGGAGCGTGGGGATCCCAGGGTTGTGCCTCCGCCCTGGGCTCTGGGAGGCCGACACTGGGGTGCTGGGCCTCCTCTGCCAAGAAACATTTTTCATTTAAACGTGTTTTTAAGAACAGGGAAAATCAACCCCAAGGTATTTACTCCTCCCCGGAGCTGGTCCTACGCCTGTCAGTCTTCAATCCCCCTCCCTCCTCCATTTGGTTTTCTTCTTCTTTAAGCACTTACATGGGTTGGGGGTTAGGCTAGGTCGGGGCTTTCTGGGGACCGGGGGTCTGTGCTTCTCGGTTGGGGTTCGCTGCTGCCCTCCCCCTCAACACCAGGACTCGCCATTCTCCATCCCTCTGTCCACCTCTTCCTCCAGGGTACCCTTAAACCCCAAAAATGTCTTTGTCTCTCTTTTCCTCTTGTTTTGTTTGTTGTTGGTTTTAGTTTTGGTTTCTTTCTTTTTTCTTTTTTTTTTTTTTATTTTTACAATTTTGAGGTCTTTGTGTCCAAGGAGAAGCTATTATATTTTGTTAAGAAAGTGGGGGAAAAAAAAACCAAGAGGCCACTGTGCCTTTGTAAAGAAACAAAATAAAGTTTGTACTTTGTTTTTTAGATTCTTTGTCTCTTGAGGTACATTGTCTTGAGGACTTAAACAGGGCTACCTAGCCTAGAATAGAGGGTGCTCTTTGGACCCTCAAATCCAGAGGTGACTGTGTGAATGTGATGACTCTCTCAACTTTTGTTTTTGTGGATGCTGGGAATCGAACTCAGGACCTTATGCTTGCCAGGCAGGTGCTGTGCAGCTGAGCTATATCCCCAGCCCTGTTCTTTTTTCTTTTTTGGTCTTTTTGAGACAGGGTTTCATTATGCAGTTCAGGCTGGCCTTGTGCTCACTTTGTAGCCCCGGCTGGTCTTGAACTCACAATGATCCTCCTGCCTCAGCCTCCCGAGTGCTGGGATTACAGGCATGAGTCACCATGCCCGGCTATGTTTTGTTTTCTTGAGACAGGTTCTTGCTATGTAATCCAGGCTGGCCTGGAACTCACTGTATAGCCCATGCTGGCCTCAAAGTCAGTCCTTCTGTCTCAGCCGCTAAATGCTGGGATTACCAATGTGTATCACTATGCCTTGCTGGACTCCCGGAATTTGTGTGTGTGTGGTTATGCTGAAGTTCTCAGATTCCCTGGGATCACTCTGGGGAATCTGCAAAGATGGAAAATGGTGCTGGGGCTGGTGGGAGTCCATGAGAGTTCACAGCCAAGCCACAAGTTCTTAACTCCTGGACAAGAACACAGGCGTTCAGAGTCCCTAGGTGCTACCACTTCCTGGGCTTCTGTAACCTCCCTGAACTATAGAAGGGAAGGACACTACCTGTACATGGTGTAGTGTTTTATGTGCTCAGGCTGTGGCTTTGGTCTACCAGTAGTCATTTGCACTTCTGACAAGCTACTGAGCCTTTGGGATGGAGGGCTGGTCCTTTTAGTTTCTTTTTTTATTTTTTGAGACAGGATTTCCAGGTATGGTTCAGGTTGGCCTTGAACTCACTATGTAGCAAGGCTGGCCTCGAACTCGTGATCCTCCTGCCTCAGCCTTCCGCGTACTGGAATTGCAGGTGTGCACCATCACACCGGGTTTATTTTTTATTTTGAGACAGGATCTTTTTCGCTAGGTCACTAAATTGCACAGGCTGGGCTTGAACTTGAAATCCTACTGCCTCAGTCTCTCAGTTTGGGATTACAGGTGTGGGGCACCAGACCTGATGTAAATTCACTCTTTCGATTTTGACTGTGATTTTTGATAACTGTGTTCAGTTGAGTAACTACCACGACAGTCAAGCCATGAATTCATTCTCTCACGTTTGGTGTTCCCGTAGAATTCTTTGTGGTTAACCCAGCCAGTTGCAACCCCTGGTCTATGCTGCTACGGTTTGCCTTTTATAAAATGTCTCATACAGGGAATCATACGATATGTAGGATAGCTTTTTGAATAAGACTTCTTCCACGCAGCATTATGCTTAGTTATTTTTTTATTTTTTAAAAATAAGACAATTTACTTGAAGGTGTTGAAAGGGGGAAGAGGGAGATGACTGCTACTCTGTGAATAAGGAGTATGGGAAAGTGAGCTACTCCGTACTTTTTAAAAAAACTATTCAGCAAGCTTACACCAGTTAAATGCCCCTCGGAAGGGAGGAGCTTAGCTAGGCTCTGTGCCCGACCCCCGTTCCCCAGATCCTCCCCCAACCCCTTTCGGTCGAGTGTGAGGCTGTAGGTCCGATGGTTTTCATGCAAATACTGAGGTCAACAGGGGGCGCTGTGGGCCCAGGACACCTTGTCCCAGGAAGGACAGAGGCTCCGCCTCCTTCCGGTCCTAGCGGGCTGCTCAGTTCCCATAAGTCAGAGGCGGGGCCTGGGGACCCGGCCAGGTAAATCCCTCTGTTAAGCAGCCATCGCGTGCCCAGCGACGTAAGCCCGCTCCCTCGCCCGCGGCGGAAGGCAGGAACGCTACTGCGGCCTCCCGTGCGTCCCCGCCCCGCCCCCGTCCCGGCCCCTC